GGCCATGAACTGGCCCACACGGTAGTGGTTGTACGATATCTCTTACACCCAATTTTATTGATATAATCGGTATAGCATCTCAAGAGCAATTGAGTTTATTCACGTTTCATTTTGTAAAGCCCTTTTGTTAACCTATTTAACGGGTAGATTCATCTGGACATTAACAGTTTATCTTATATCATTATACCTTTATTATTGTTGTACTACTATGAGTATGTATTCTTGAGAATCGGTTACTGCCTACTCGTATATTCATTCTGCTAGCCTTACTGTTAGTCACTTAATTGATTTGATGATTCATTCATTTCTCTATGTATATATATGTACATTTCAATCATGTACATGGACTCGCTTGTCTGCTAGCACTTCGACATTATTCCTACATGCTTGCTTAGAATTCCTGTGATCATGGTTATCTGTACATGGTGCAATAATGAACGTAATCAGCACTTCGTATTTACCTTCTGATCAATACACCGTTAGGGAGTTACTGTCCAACAAAAAAGCTGCGGAGGGATTTTCATCGTTCTCTTTCCGTTACAACCATGAACCGACTTACTTCGCGGTAATCCACGCAAATTGGAATTGAATGATACCACGAGTACTGCATTCTCAGAGGTCAAAACGGCTATGGCTCAAGTTACTTTCCTCGATAATCCTGACCCATCAACCACGCTTAGTATAGCGGTTAATGCATCGGATTTTGCTGTTATGCCGTTACGCAACAGAACATCTCTGAAAGTCGGCAACCTCTCGAATTTTTCCTACGGAGACGAGATGTCTTGCTTTTGATCGAGAACTACTAACAGCCTAGTGTGCCATCAAACATTTCCAACACGCAGTAGAAGGCCGCGATTTCATCTTGTTCACCGACCATGAGTCTTTAACGTATGCTCTTACCGCTGCTCACCACGAGAGTGCAGACATTTGGACTATATCTCTCAGTTCACGATAGACCTTCGTCACATCAAATGCGAGTCGAACTATGTCACCGATGCCCCATCACGTATTAAAATGAATGCAGTTACTTTGCCGGTGCTCGATCTTCCTGCTATGGCTGCTGCCCAAGCAAACGATCTCTTTTGTACAGAAGCACCACGATGCACATCCCTTCAGTGCCTGGGAGTACCCTTGGCTACTAGCTCAAGTACCATCTCTTGTTAACTTCTACTGGTTTACCCCGATGACACGGTATAGAACTCTATACCTATACAACATACATACCACACCTTTTCTATTTTTCTTTGATTTTTTTGTACCCTGAGCCCACGCCGCCGACCATCATCCGTTTAGTACCGTCGACTTCAGCCAGGTTCGTCGAAAGCTGGCCTGATCACCCACGCTCTTTTCAACGCACTCAGTCGGTGTTCTGGTTCCGAATATGTCTGGCATATATTTGGTCTCGCGCTTAGTTGTTATGGTCGCTTCTGGTTTCTTAGCTCAACGTGGTCCCATCCTACGTCTGCAGCGTCTTCTGGTCAGGACCCATACGAACGCGATCCCCAGATCTTGGATACAAACCACTCTGGTGTAGCATGCTAACTCGAACAACAATTACACCAAGTTTCTCCTGGTGCCATTCTACGTAAAAGGCCTTCGGTGATAACTTGAGGATGAACGATCGCTTCTGGTTCGGCCAACCCTCTCGTCCTACAACCACACGTTTGCAGATCAGTCTCACGAACGTAACCACTACGTATCGAGAGAGTAGACCTTTTCCAGTGGGGGGCTCCTGTAGTGACCTACTTTTATCAAGAGAGCGCGATTGGTTTGATGGAAACAATTATTATTATCAATTGTACCATGGATTGTTTTACCGTATTTGTTTGTTTGACTGTACCAAAATACAGACCTTCTTCCGTTGATTGTGACCTTGCGCCAACTTACCTTTGCTCAATAATTCCACTTGCACTTCTTTGGTACGATCTCGGTATTATTTCGATACCACGAGATTGCCGACAAATACATCTCGACTACAGCCATCAACTGCCTTCTGATATTTGACCTGCGGGGGATCTTATCGGTTAACTGGCACATAGTCCTCTTGTAATGGTGATCATACTCAACCGCGGCTCGACGCCACACTACTTACTCATGACAGATTAGTACTCCATCGCGTGGTTATTGAAGGGATCGTTTGCAAAACGTATAGCTATGTGGAACTATATTGAACAAAACGTTTTTGACATTCGGACAAATCTAACTTACAACGCTGGTAACACACACATCTCTCAACGACGGGAAACATGAGTGCAGTAAAAAGAAGCAATTTGGAGACGTTTCAAAAGATGGCGACTGCAATGAAACTGGAAACTAAACTAAACCGAAGTTAGGACGAACTACGGCATCGAAATTAGCTTAAAATCATGCCGTATGTGGTATACATCCTCTCATTATCTTACAGATCTCGTTAACCTCCAAGGTTAGTGACAGTAATGTGTAACACTTCGTCTCCAAATTTGTGAGACTTAATTTTTTTTCGGTTTTATATTGCTCAGAAGAAATGGTCCTCAATAACAAAAGCAACTGTTCTTCTGTAAAACTGCTTTCCTATTACGGAACTCGCTGCAGGTATGAAATATTATGTGAGAAGATGAAGTGATAAGGAACTTTTTCTAGATGGTTCTATTTTTTCAGACCAGATATTCTTAGATTGTTTGTAGTTCAGAGGTAAGTCCTACGGTATTATTCATCGGCCATGAGAACATTCTTCAACAAGTCTCAAATAAATTTTGACATTGGCCACCAACACAGTGACGAATAATAAGGGGTGAAAATAAACCGAACATTACAGCATCACATAGTACCGATTTTCGATTAAAGCTTTATGATTACTGGGTCAATAAACAGGGATAAATAAAGGGAATTTGGAGAATAATCAAGTGTTTGATTGAAGATAGCTATATATTTAAATAAGGTCCCGATGTTACAAGACAATCGACAAATGAAAGCAGATGAGAAATGTTTTGAGTGCATTGGCTTGCCAAGTGCTCTGTAGACTGTACAATTTCGTCAGAACCTTTCGATTTTGCCTTCATTTTAAAGATTGTTTTCCTTGTGGTAACCTAATATTTGGTGCTGCAAAAGGACTCTTACCTCGTCAGAGTTATTTGTGTCAAAACAAAATCAGTGCAAATGTCCTACCCTTTCAGATTTACTACCAGCAGCAGATCAATTATGACATCGTCTGATCCATGCTTAACGTTCGGATAGTACTTTTGTTCAAACTTCTGGACCTTGGAGAAATTTATAAACGGATTTGATGAGTTGGTACAAGTAGGTGTGGAATATAATGTAATTCAAGTCAGATAAATGCTTCAATCGGGCGAAATCATATGAACAGGCGGCGCTCGAAAAACAGTTCAGGTGTTAGGTCAATATTCATAGCACAAAATACTTTCACTTATAATATCCTTGACAGTAACTGCTTCAGTCCATCGCGTGAAACAACCCAAGCAACGTATTTCATTCACTTAATGTTTTTAATTAAAACAAGGAAATACTGTTTTACTTTGAAGGTGAAACTTATGAAAAAAAGCTTTCACTATATAGTTATTTGCTTACTCTTGACATTGCAGTATGTAAACCAAATCACCGTTGTCAACGGATTATATCACCTCTCCCAATTACAGATTTTAAGTAATTTTGAGACATCTCGAATGATCTTAGCATCTAAATGTCTGGAATCTCTACGTTTCGACAGTTCGGTCTAAAACCTTGATAAATGACTTTGATTTCCTTGAATAATTTGTGCTGGCAAAGTTGCTGCGAGAAAAGATAGAAACGAATAGAAGAAAGCAAGGACTAGCTGTACCAACATTCCAAATTAATCGATACACTCATCCATATAGCACACAGTTCAACACACATACTTCTCACACCTTAAGGGTGCCATCTTTTCCCAAAGCGTCTGGTTCGACATTTGCACCGCCTTGTCAAGTATATTCGACTACACTAGGGATTAGTCAAAGTAACATACGGATTTCAGAAAAATCTAGAACAAGCGGATTCAGGATGTCCTTCAAGTAGTAAGAATATACGAATCTTACTCCTGATTCATCGAGTCATTGGCGTCTCGATTGCATGAACGCAGATTTTATGACTGAATCCGGAGCAGAGTCACATTACTAGGTGTACGAATTAAATAATGCTTAAGCTGATACTGGTGTGACTTATTAACGGTTAAACGTTATTCAAAACAGAATCAACGTGACTTAACCAAAGATGAACTACATATTTCACTGTAACGTCTGGTTAGCAAGTAACGGGGTAGCATAGAATATAATGACACGTGGTCTGCATTTGACACATCCCATGTACACACCACTTACATAATTTGACGGAAGACAAGTTTTCCCTTGTCTAATGTGAAAATAAGCAAACCACTTGAGACTACAATTTACAATAGTTGTAACCAGGGGTAAGTGATTAAACTGTTTTCTGAGTTAAGTAACGCTATAAGTTCAGAAGTTACTTATCAGACGGCGAAATTTGACTTGTCAGTCAGTCAGCTACAACTTAGGAAGTCTGATAAGCCCTAATAAGTTGGTGCCTGATGTAATCTCAACACAGATTCGAAAAGCTCGCTTGGTTTTTGCCAACTTACGTCATCTATGGCGAAGGCGAGATATCCGTCTATCAATAAAAGGACGAGTATACTGCGTATTCTAAGTCGATAAGTGGACTTCCTCAAAGGAGATCAATACCCGAGAATTCAGTCAACGCGAATGTTATTTCCATCAGTAGGTCTATGATGAAGTTAAACAAAAATGGAGAAAGTGGACAGCCTTGACGGACACCGTTTGAGGTTGCAAAAGCATATAACAGTTCGTCACAAACTCTGACTCGACTGGTAGTGTTCGAGTAAAGAGCCTTCATAAAGTTTATGTACTTCCGAGGTACGCCTTTCAATGACAGACACTGCCACAGAATCTCACGGTCTACAGAGTCAAATGCTGCCCCGTTATATTTCACAGTTCCAAACAAACTAACAAAGATACTTCTGGAGTTGTAGTTTTGTTTTTGAAACTTTATATTTTCAATACAAAAAATAGAATGTCACATATACACTATCTTAACAAGTACATACACATGTATAATACTAATAATAATAATAAAAATCAAATATTTATACACTGATTAAAGAGTAATGATTAGTCGAAAAATAAACAGAAAAAGTTATTCTCTTTTATGAAATGCATTTAAAAATAAGCAATAATGATATAAGTAATGACAGAGAGATACATATACATAGATCCACAAAGAAGATACACGTACAATCAATGAAAACACAATATAGTGAAGATAATGTGAAGCTTTGATCGTCTGAATAGAGTAAGGCAATGTATGTATGTATGTATAAGACAGCGAAAAACAGAGAAGCAAGAGAATGTGAAAGTTAGTTTAAAACAAAAAAAACAACTTATGTTTCCACCAAACGGAAAAAGTTTGGTCCACGGGATATATAAATATCTGAGTAGGCAACTTCTTGTGCTAATTCCACAGCTCCTTGTTTACGTAATAGTAGAACTGTATAGAATTTCGAAGCAGCCTTGAATGTAGACATTTGAATAAGCGAAAAAAAAACAGACAAAAAAGTGATCAGTCAAAAACACTGATATATCAATAGACAGTCAGTCAGCTACAACGTAAGACCAAGCACATATATGCATCGGTCCAAGTTGCCATATCTCATTAACACAACAAGATGAACCCCGGATTCATAGGAGTAGTTAAGCCAATGGTGGTAATATATAAAAGAAAGATTGCATATAAGGATATAGTACAGGAAGAAAGAACTAGTTCGTAGAAGGAAAGATATGAAGCGATTTTAATCTCTTAGTTTAAGAGAAGACAGAGAGTGTATACACCGACACCATTGTGATCGATTCTGAGCCATGTCAATAGACAACAATTTGTAGAAACTAAACTAGATGTTGACAAATTGCAGATGAAGACGTTTGAACAAAAAAACAAGTTAAGCGACGGAATAAACAATATCATACTCTTTTTACAGAAAAATGGCTAGAACTTTTGAACTACTCTTATTTGAATGCACAAAGAGTTGGAAAATACTACTACTGACACCTGTTTCTACCCGACACGGATTAGCTCCACTGGTCACGGTTAATGATCTCAATCAAAACTTAACAATCTCCACAACTACTATACTGAGATTTAGTAATGTAGAATCACGAAAATGTTCTTTCTTCTGAGCTAAAAATATTCAGAAACAAACCAATCAATCATAGAGGAAGATATTGTACATCCAAGTGATCATGAAGATATTGATTATCGATTCCAGTCATCATAATAGAGAATTCCTTGTTATTCACAAGATATATATCGTAAATACATTCCTTATTGAACAGTACAAATTTTTCCTACAACTTAGTCACTCTGCAGGAATAGTGTGGTCCATGTTTTGAGTAACTCAATAATACACTATATCCGGTTGCCTAAACGAAACATAATAAAATAGAAACAGTATTTTGTGTATCTTCTACAGGTGAAACACAAATTCCTTTTAAATACACCATTATGTATGTACAGAAAACATGTTTAGAAATCAATAAACAACAAGTTGACTCACTTGTTTCTTTGTATTACCATGACATAAACCTTGTAATGTTAACGGTTCATCCCAACCATATTGTTGTTGATGTACACGTAACATACGTAATAACACTTTAGAACGTTTTTCTAAACGACGTTCTCAGCTGTTTCTAATGGTAAACCATCAGCTGAGAGAGGAGCTTCAGATCCAGGAAAACCACTTCCAGATAATAAACCATCACATGTTCTACCATCATTTTTAAATACATTTTCTAATTCATTGTCAACTTCATTATCAGCTGCGGCTAATTCACGTTCTAATGCCAACATATCAACCTGGAGTGAAATTTTAGAAGAGAAATACCCAATGAGTATTTAAGGACAAGTAATATTTGAATGATAAACTGCCTTATCATCAAGGGCTTAACAGCTATAAGTCCATAATTATTGTATTATAACGGTCAAGATAAAGTATACACATAAACAAATGAATTAGACAATGTTAAATGTTACAATAATGGATTTTGGACGTCCGTTACAGTTCAAATACATTTAAAATGTGTTAACTACAAATTTGAAAGAGAGTAAGAAATCTGATTGAATAGTTTCAAGTTATAATAAGAACATAATATAATAAAAATAATAAGAATAACACCATGTGAATATAATATATTATCAGATGAGGGTTTGTGGAGACTGGTAATCTTAGTAGTTCAATTCATGTGTACTAGTATGGGACTCTTCAACAATGCATATCCACAATCCCACACAAGGGATTCAAACCAAGGACCTCCGGATTCGTGCGCGAATGCTTAACCTCTAGACCACTGAGATGGTATCCAACGGTGTTAATGATGTTATGTCAAAACAAACAAAATACAGGTAACTTGTTGAGATGTGTTGATGCCAAGAACAAGTAGCTCAAAGATTCAGACAGGCTGCCAAAGGGAGTAACACACATCATAGTAGTAGTGGAATCATTAGCACTCACACAGAAACACACAAATAAAATTAAAGTATAACTGAAAGCCAAATACATAAAGTTGTGTACTAAGTGTAAGTGCTATTTGTATATGATGAAAAATTAAACTTATCAAGAGATTTGTGTAGAAAATTATTTGTATTTATATTTCTGAACGAAATTGAGAGGGTGAAAAGCGAATGTCTGGCGCCTCAACTGGGTTGGTGGATATGAAGGATCCACATAAGGGAGTTGGAAAATCCTGATTCCACACCACTAGTATACATGGGCTCCATCATCCTAAGGAAACAAATGGTGTATGAAAAAAATCGTTGGTCACCGACTACCGTAGGATTGCATCTCCTAACGTTGCTCCACTACCTTGTGGATCCGACCTTTATTATTTATTTACTTGAACACATAAATACTGGTACAAGAGAGCGCCAATGTATATGCGCCATACAAAACAATGAGAACTCGAAGAGAAAAAAAAGGTAAGGAGCGTAAAAAAAGAGAACAATAACGAAGAGATTGGTGTAAGGTAGTGTAATAATAATAGTGGTAATAATGGGGGAACGGAAAGGTACAATCAGAAGGAATCTTCCATTTAAGGAAGAAGCAACCACTTTTTATGAAGAAAGTAAAAGAAGGTTACAGCAGGATCGCCACTGGATCCTATTCTGAGCCATATCTGATAACGTCACTAGCCACTGTGTAGAACCATCTCTCGGACCCCAACCAGGGAGTCGTGAACGACCAACAGAAGCCAGTCCTTTGCAGCTTTCTTTCATACCACGACACCATGTCATGCACTGACCACCTCTCCGCTTCTTCCAACCAGTCCCAGAGTCGGCAAATAATGCACGACGTGGAATTCTCCGGGACGACATTCGTAGAACATGACCAATCCACCGAAGTCGGTGTTTCAAGATGGTGACACCAATTGCATTATCGTCTCTGTGCCCGAACACACGATGCCGACCCTCTGCATTACTGACATGGTGTTGCCACTGAATGTCAGCAATCCTTCGGAGACAACGATGATCGAACACAGAGAGTCGTCTAACATCCTCAACTCGGAGAGACCAGGTTTCACAAGCATAGAGCAAAACTGCTCTCACCGACGCGTTGTAGATCCGACCTTTTACAGCCAGACTAACATCACGAAGGCGCCAAAGATGGCCCAGATTGGCATAAGCCGCTCTGGCTTTCACTAGACGTGCATTGATCTCATCACTCACAACCCCACCAGCACTTATGCAGCTACCTAGATACACGAACTTCTCACTACGTCTATCTGCTCACCATCCAGGGTGGGTACAGGATTAGAATCCTGCCAGTCTTGTAGAAGTACTTTGCACTTCGAAGGTGCAAAGCACATACCATACCTACGGACACTGATTGCCAACTGATTAAGTGCGGATTGCATGCCTTGGGCATTATCGCACAGTAAGACAATATCGTCCGCATACTCAAGGTCGAGAAGTCTTTCTCCAGGCAACAGATCCACACCACCATTACTTACATTCATCAGAGCTGTTTCCAGAATGTCATCGATGGCAAAGTTGAAGAGGAATGGTGAGATTGGGCAACCCTGCCTAACCCCACTGCTCGAATGGAACAATGGAGAGAGGTGGTTGTATGCCCTCACTCTGCCTGAGGTGTTTGTATATAGGGCTTTTAGGATGTTAATAAACTTCTCAGGCACACCCTTCTTCAATAGACAATCCCAGAGAACAGTCCTGTCCAACGAATCGAAGGCAGCCCTGATGTCAAGAAACACTACGATTGTTGGCCTTTGATAAGTATGGCGGTGTTCTAACATTTGGCGGAGGGTGAAGATATGATCAATACATCCTCGACCAGAACGAAACCCAGCCTGCTCCTCGCGAGTCAATCTTTCTCGGGTTTTGAACAACCTACGAAGTATGACGGAAGCCAATAGCTTGGACGCAATCGGAAGTAGACTTATCCCCCGATAGTTGTTACAGGAACGACGTGAACCCTTTTTAAAGATAGGGACAACTATCGACTCATTCCATGACGTTGGTACACTCTCTAGTTCCCAAACCTTTGTAAACAACGTCGTCAATTCCTTAGTCAAAAAGTCACCACCATCTTTAAAAAGAGCCGGAGGTAAGTCATCTGGGCCAGGTGATTTGTAACGCTTCAAGAGTTGGAGTTCCTTGCGGACTTCCTCCTCATTTGGTGGATCAGTCGTCACCGGCCATGGAGGGCAGGACAGTCTGACCGATGTTGCCGGAGCAGCAGGCCAGTTGAACTGCCCTTCGAAAAATTCTGCCCATCGTCCAAGACGTCGATGGATGTTAGTGATTGGCATCCCATCATCCTCGCAGATTGTTTCACTCACACCAGACTTCTTGCTGCCAGTGGCTCGGATGAGTTGGAAGAGCTTCCGGTAGTTACCAGATGCAGCTGCTGCTTCCAGCTCATTAGCACGCTTCGACCACCAGGCTTCTCGGTCCTTACGCAAGCTTTGCCCAATTTCCTTACGTAACATCCTTCGTTTATGGTCAAACTCACGGTCACCCGGAGTAGACCGACGGGCTTCAATGAGTTGTAAGGAACCAGAAGAAACCCAGTGCTTATAAGCGGGACGTTTCGCAAACCCACAACTGACTGTTCCCGCCATTTTCATGGCGTCATGCAATTGCAACCAATGCTCATCTATACTTTTCGGTGGAATGGTAGCTAGCCTAGAAACTAGCTCGGTTCGATACTTACTAGCAACAGAAGTTGCAACCAGCTTGCTAACATCAATCCGTTGATGGCGGTCACTTCGTTGGCCACTGAAAAGTAAGGTAAGATTGGCGCAGACCAAGGCATGGTCAGAGTCCAGATAGGTACTCCAAAAGGAGCGGCAGTCTTGTACACAACCACGCCAGCGGTAGCTGATCGCGATGTGATCAATCTGGGTCCAGGCTTGGGATGCAGAGGGAGGACGCCAGGTGGCACATCGGCGATGACTGTGCCAAAAGTTAGTTCTAGCCAGAAACAGGTTGTGGTCTGTGCACAGTTGCAGTAGACGGTCCCCGTTATCTGACCTGCGACCAACGAGTCCCCATCGGCCACCTAAACGACTCTCTTTTGTGCCTAGACGCCCGACCTGACCTTTAGACCAAAGGTTCCGGGTGTGGCTCCCTAACAAAACCACTTGCTTCAGTTTGGGCACCTAGGCAGTACCTCAGCTCTCATACAAATCAAATGATTAATGTGGTGCCTCCTTGTACCAATGTTTATGTATTTAAATTCTGAATAAAATAAATGTGTTTCTACTTTAAAGGGTTTGTGTGTGTGTGTATGTTATTGACAACCAAGTTAACAGCTTAAAAACAAATACAATTTATTCTTGTCTAATAGCATATTGATAGATTGATATGATTAGTTTGCTAATAATCTATTACTTTCATTCTATCCATGTAGGTTGTCACTGACTTTGAAAATATATTCATTTTGTAGGTTTGTAGAAACTTTTTACTTGTATACCACCTCTTAAAAAAGATACCTTTTCTTAATCAATAGTTGATTTTTCATTGTTAGCTTAATTGTAATTGTATGAAACGAGAGAAAAAAGTATTTTTTTATTATACACTAATTGAGTACGAGTGGATGGAGACTCAGCCTCCAAATGCCCTGGGATGGCCGAGAGTGGGGTGTGCCCGCCTTCCCTCTCGAAATGTCCACACACGGCCACGTGTATACAGCCTCTGCCAGGGAAGTCCTACTCACTGCTTTCTCGCAGCATTACTGTTGTTTACGAAAGTGAGAGGACGAAAACCGAATGTCCGGCGCTTTAACCGGATCCCAAACCAATGGTGCACATGGGCTCCAGTATCCTGAAGGAACAAATGGCGCATGAACCAATCGTTGATCACCGACTACCATGGGACTGCATCTCCTCACGATGCTCCACTGCCTTGTGGGTCAGACCTTCAGGTCCAAGGCTCGGGGGTGGCCCCCTAAGAAAACCATCTGCTTCGGTCTGGGCATCCGGGCAGTATCCCCGCCCTCACACAAATCGAATGATCTATGTGGCGCATATCTATTTGGTGCCTTCTTGTACAAATGTTTATGTGTTTAAATAAATAAATAATAAATCGAATGAAGACTCAGAGGAGAGAGAGAGAGAGAGAGAGAGAGAGAGAGAGAGAGTATGAATATATGCAAATCCAAAATACACAACATCAATAGGGAAGCTCTCGGTTTTTTTTACACTCCATACACTCCCTTTTTAAACTTATTACTTATCAATGCACGTTCACTTCTGAACAAATTTCAGCTTTGAGAACATTAGCTTTTCTAGCCAAGCCTTCTTTATATGATGTGATATCAAGCGATAATGATGATGACAAATTCTATTCAAAAATGAACAAATCTCTAGAAACTATTCCCAGATTATCTTTTGATAACTGTGTTATTGCAACATAGTGATGATTACTGAAGAAATTTATATGTACATAAAAAAAACCAGTAGTATTTTGCATGTAATGAGTGTATGTTATATCCCGATAAGAATAATGAATGGTAATCTTTTGGGATCCATATATGGACCAATATTATGAGTATATTTTTATCGTATAATTGTTATGTAACTGAACTGTTCATATTCATGTCCCAGTTATTATGAGTTTTATTTTGACCTATGAACTATTATTGTACGATTTACCATTCTTGAGTTATGGCTTTTCTATCAGTTACTATCTCTCACATTCACAGCCACATTTAGCCATATTTTGTACAAATGTTATTTTCATATTTTATGGTACGTTGTGGTCGGGTTGATTGGTATATAAACCCAGTATGTTTGAAATATCATGATTCATAATCTCAGAAGCTGAGATTGGTGTTCTGGACTCAACTGCCTGCTGGACTAGACAGGGAAGCGGGAACAATCAGGACCCTCGGTTGCCCGCACGTGTATATGCGTCACTGGTCCAATCGATAATTCGCTGCACTCTGATTGGCGGTATCGTTGCGTTATACAATAAACAGGGCACATAGATTCACAAGATATAACAGTATGCAATGTTTTGAAATTTTTAAGTTTCTGGAAACCTTTAACTTACTTGCATTACACTTGGTGGGGCTTCTGATAAAATACTTGGAGGTGCAAGATAAGGTGTTTTCTGGTTCTACCATGAATCCTAAATCATCATGCATAGGTGGTTCATCATCAGATCATCTTGATTATTATCGGCGCCATGAGATGCTAAACAAAGGACAGGGGGAGAGAGAGAAGGGAGGGGGTGGTGATATGTGTATAAAAAAGGGAGTGTACTTATTCTATACAATGTGTATAGTATATTCTCAGTATAAGTTTTCATCTTTTAGTTAGATAACCCATCACGAGAAATGGTTTGTCTCGTAAAATTTCTGAGTCCTGACATCATGAGAGAAGAGAATATGCATAAATACTTGAGAGACAAATCACACTTGCAATTTTTTGCAAACTCGCATAAAAATGCACTAATACGCTCTTCAACCAATTCATTTACCAGACACAGGTTCGCATGTTTGGTTTCGAGACACATTCTGAATGTGAAGGGTAGTGACAATACTAGTTTGATCAAACCGAAGACTGTGGAACGGAGTTCGAGCCTTCGGTTTAATAGCAAAAAGTTGGATGCCTTAATAACCTCTGAACTACCGTCCCACGTTTATATATACCCACACATATAATAATGAACTTACTTGCAGGTGTTGGCCTTGATTGTTCACCATGTGAAGCAGTAAATGGAGCTGATTCGTCTTCTGGGATTTCTGAGATAGGACCCAATTTTTGAGGTAATTGCATTGTATCTTTCATTGTTTCACCAAATTCAGAAATGGATACATCAGTAGACTGTTGCTGTTGAATACTTTGATCGAATGAAGTGTTTGGTTGTAAAGCCTGTTATGAAAGATAAACAACAAATACAGAAAATGATAAGCAAGAACAATGTCCAATAAAGGTTGATAGGGATGCACATAAAGTTCTATCGTAATCAACAAAATATTTCTAAAAAAAAGGACGTAACTCTGTAGATTAAATGGAGGGAAGTCAGTTATAATTAATGTGGTACCTAGTACAAATACATACTACGGCCCAAATTGTTACATCACATAAGCATAATGAAAGAGGAAATTAACAACATCCATAAGGAAAGTTATAAATAGTGTGAAAAAGATTTGACTTAAGGAAGAACGACTGAAAAGAAGCAATAGGACTAGAAAACAAAGGGTGTAGTATTGGAACTTAAGATATAAAGAGGCTAAACCAAGAGCGAACGCATGTGCATCAACAAGATCGGTTCCCAGTCATGTCGCCTAACGTCTCTTCAGTCACTGAATACAATTTACCTTATCAGGGCAAACAATAACCCTGGGATACAGGTATGCCAAGTTGAAGAGTCCCAAACAGGACGAAACCGGAGTCCTGGATTCCACTGCCAGTCACCATTCATCTCTGCTTATAATGCTTGTGACTTAATGGCAATGTCAAGACAATCTGCACAGGACGCATATACGCCAAAAAGACTGATCAATTTCGGTGCTCAACACACCACTGAGAAGATTCAAACAACCCAAACACAAATGAATCAAAGCTACGGTTGCTTGGTAAAAAGCTAACAACTCTATGACAATAACAGTAGTAATTAAGGCACTGCATACAAAAACATTTTTTAGAAGAAGGTTAGAACACTAAAACAAAATTATACACAAGCACACTTATATATTATTTACAGATATTTTAATGTCAGTGACATATGAACATGCAGATTTAAAGCAAACAATTGTTGAAAGAATAATTGTTACCTCCGAATTAGTTAGCATATTCGATTGATCAGGAAGCGGTTGTTGTTGTTGGGTAGTTGAATTAAACGATAGACTAGATAGTAAATTAGATGTTTGAAAAGATTCCCCTGTACTAGTAACATCATCTGGGACAGCCTGAGTATATAAATTACGCATAAATAAGCGTTGCAGTACACGTGATGGAATAGCACGACCAGGTAGAACAAACAATTTATCCACACTACCTGTCTCTTTCCAATGCATTAATTTTTTAGTTGGTGGTGCCAAATCTAATTGGGTTGTAATATCAGCGGTATTCTCCATTTGGGATTTCATAACTTCACTTGGAATTGACTTTTGTTCATCAACGATAAGTCGACGTTTACGTTTTGTTGCTCTATTATAAAATGGATAATATGTAGAAAATAGTGAATATCAAACAAGCAAATAAATAATCTTGATTGAGTGCCATATTCGATTAAGTAAACAAGGTTAAATTGTACTTGGTGAACAGACAACGAACAAATACACCAAACAAGTTGTCAGTAGGCAGTAATGCAAAAAAAATTCTAGATCTAGTGTGCAATTTGTTAAAAAAATCTGTGGTTTAAACTGTCACTCACTGATATGTGTAAGACTTCTACATATTTTTATACGTAATCTATTACTACGTATGAGGTTAAGATTAACTGACACCTCGAAAAATTGCAGACTTGTTGACGAGTGTTAGACAGCATGGAAAGTAGGTCTGAAGTTTCTTTCTTATTGTATCTAACGATCTAACATTAAAACAAAGGTGGCCAAAAGATCCCTAGTCACTTAATTTAGTAACTTCAATATAGCTTGATGGAAAGAATTTACTCAACAGTAACAAGTACACAATATGACATCTAAAAAACCAGACGGTAAATTCAAACTACCCGGTTAGGGTCAGCACAGCAACCGTCATCAGTGGTTGGAGACGCTAAGTAAACTGGGTCAGAATCAGTTGAAATGGTACGGATACACACGCACTTTACCTTACTCTAGATCATGAGTTCCAATATCCCTTCACGCTGCGGCAGATAATGATGTGTTTATTCTCATACCTTATATAAAAATCGACAGGATAATCGATGGATGACCTTCAGCAAGCAAAATAATGCAATTAGAACAGCTTATTTAGAAGAAAAAAGCAATTCATATAATACGACTAGCGAGTAGAGAATGAGACAGGAATGAATGGATCTATATATACCATGTAGATAAATATATAAATGGATGAGCCATTATCCATTAAATATGTGTATAAGATGGTTTAAGCAATTGATGCTTGAGTAAGTGGAATTAATATGTAGACGGATACAATCAAACACTCATGCATACTCGTTTGTATAACAATACACATATGAAGGCTAACTAAATAAAGTATAGACCAATTATCAAGGATTAAAATAACACTTTATCTACTAAATAGGTTGATATGATGGTTTAGTTAATTTGAACCTATACAAGACTATGTGTATGGGTAAGGTCATCATGAACCATAATATACCATTTCATAGCGTTAGCAGGACATAGACTGGATTAAAGCATGCTCAATGCACGACTACTTTGGTGCACGCTGATTGGCTAATTCTTATCCAATCAGCACTAGTCGATATTTTGAGAATACTCTATAATCTTCTCATGTAAAAACTATAAATATACTAACGTTTTCTCTATTGTGCTTCTTACTGGCTTCTTGCTTCCATCTACCCTTGTTATTTGGAATATAATCTCTTTCCTGTTCAACTGTGTTCTGATTTGGGGACTTGTCGAGTGAATCGGTGTCCGAGATTACTAAGCAATAGGAATAGCTGGGTCATAACCGTAAGAAAGAGATTATAACACATTGTCTTTCTCATCATCATTACTTCCACATTATTTAGACTTCAGTTCATCTTGTTCATTTCATCTCACCGTATTAATGTGGTATGGAAATTTGGACTAACGCACATATCTACCAGAGTCTATGCTGATTTTGACTGACTAGCTGATGCGAAGAGAGAGTTTGGTTTGACCAAGTAGTGATAGAATAATCATAGACACACTTTTATTGCTATTATTTTTCTGATTTTTTTCTAAATCCATTGAGATAAGACTCATGTAATAATAATTACACTATTTATTTATTTCAACACATAAACGTTAGTACAAAGAGGCACCAAATACATACGCGTCACACTTAGTCACTCGATTTGTGTGACAGCTGGAATGCTGGTCAGGTGCCCAAACCGAAGCGGGTGGTTTTCTTAGGCGGTCACTCCCCAAGCCTACAACCTAAAAGTCTAATCCACAAAACAGTGGAACAACGTTAGGAGATGCAGTCCCTTGGTAGCCGGTGACCAATAAACGTCCATGCACTATTTGTTCCCTCAGGACCCGGAAGCCCATGAGCACCGTTTTTTGTAATCGGTATTTCCCAACTCCCCTACGTGGATCTTCCATATCCACCAACCCAGTTAGAGCTCTGGACATTCGCTTTTCGTCCTCTTAGCTTCGTAAACAACACCCCCACCACGAGAAGGCAGTGAGTAGGCCCCTAAACGGACGAGGGTGGGAAGAGCTCACTCTCCTCCTCGAAATGCTCACATATGACTACGCTTACACAGCCACTGACGGGAAAGTAATTAAACTAAAAGAAGATTTATGCAGTTCGGGATAGAAAAAAAAGGAAAATAGTTTACCGTTTTGGTTCAACGCCTGTTGTTGTATATGTTGCCTCAATAGGTGGCAAGGCAAACGCTTCAGATTCATTAGCAATTAAAGTTGTACTTTCTGTCATTGCAGTAACTCCTAGTCCAACTCTGGATGTTGTTGTATCAGTTGGTAGACTAGTTGGAGCAACAAATCCAGCTGTCTCTGAAGTTATCGTCATTGCTACTGTTGTTGCGGTTGCTGTTGTCATCAACTCGTTTACTGATGTTGACACTGTAGAAAAAGCGTCTAATGGTTTACTGACAGTAGCAGCATTCGATATTAGGTCTTCATTACTCGATGTTGGAATTGGAGTGGCAGTAATATCATCATGATGTAGATCGAAACGACCTGTGACCATATGAGATTCAATTTCAGATGTTAAATTTTCTAATTGTTTCTGAGCTGATGGATCTTCAAATATACCATCAGTGAATAACGAATGAACAATTCGACCACCAAAATTCTCGTCATCATCATCTGGTTCAGCTGATAATTGCCAAAAAAAGAAATAATGTTGTTCAGTGAATAAAATATGAAATGCAGACGTGTTAGTTGTAATTAATGAATGAATTTTATATGACTTGACTTTGTGAAGACAAGTCAAATTTTATGTTTAGTATTAAAACACAATCTTAATTACGATTTTAGTAAGCTCCTTTTTATCATACACTAAAACTCTATAGAAAGCTGACAACACATATTCTTCAACTCTCTCTGTTTCCTATTCAAATTTAATAGTACTGAGATAAAGCGAAGAAAAATTGGCTTAGTTTACATGTGGGCTTATTATTCCTAGAGCAGTGAAATCCTTTAAATTTAGTTTTAGTGTTACTCTACTATGAAAACTTATTTTCCATACTTTTAGGTTTGATAAAATTTTAGTAAAAGTTGGAGCATTGATGAAATAAAATAATAAAGGGATCCCCAAATACAAATCTAACCACTCAATTGGTTTAATACTCTGATGTTTAATATATAGGACTGTTATCTTTCAAATCTAACGATCATGCTTCGGACTAGATAAAATTGTCATGGTAATGCAGTTTAAGAAGAATATTTTTTTCAGAAGCCAATTGACAAATAGTTGCCACGATCTACAAAACGAGCAATTAAGTGTGACGATCTAGTCGCTACATAAGTACCATTTATCAAAATTTATTGTGGTAATTTCAAATGAATTGAGCATTGGATGGATTTTTTTTATAGGGAAATCAATGATATATTTGTATTAATTATAGCAACTCATGTGCGATTGTATTTGTTCTCATTTAATTCCGTTAAGCCCTTCTGTTAACTTATTTAGCGGACAAAGTCATCCGTACTATAGCAACATATTGTACCTTTATTATTGTTGTGCTTGTATGAAATATGTATGCTTGAACATTGCTTACCGCCTACGTATAGATCATTCTGCTAGCTTTATTATTAGCTGCTTAATTGATTTGATGATCCATTCATTTCCCTATATATATACATGTACATTTACACTCTACACTCTCGGTTCGCTGACTCATTCATTCGCCCCATTGCTTTGTGGTCTGAGTTATCTACTAATAAAACCATAGTCGCTGCTTCTCTTTGCCTTCTGATTTCAAACACCGTTGAGGATTATATGATAATGGTTACGAGGGTGATTGGACGACGAAGCACAGCCACTACATACCCTAGTGGGTAGAACATCGGATTACAGAAGTTTTGTGATTTATTCTTCAGAGAACAAATAAATAACCGGACTACATTAACACAAGTTTAAACAGGACAGAGGAATAAAATAAAATCTTCAATGCAACCAAAATATCCTCTACATATGCAGTGAGGATGAATCTTGCAATAGATCAACGGCTTGGTCGTTAAGAAATCCGCTTTTAATCAATAGGTAGTAAGTAGATTTAAACCCAACACAATAGCTCATCGGTTTAAGTATCCGAGTAGTTATTAAAAGCCTTCACATCTGATTTGTGACATAGAACAAAGTACATAAATCTGTACTTGGGCTGGATAAATGTATATAAGATTTATAACCACTTTCCTCTTCTTCCTGGACCTCGTAAGAGTTCATAGTTTTTGAAGTGTTGAAGATGTGGAATCCCTAAATACTAAATTCATGGGGAAACCAATTTAAGAATTGGCAAACTGATTTAAAGTGAACTGGGATGCAGAAGTAATAAAAAGACATCACTAAGAGTAGAGCAGACTGAAATCAGCCGTTTTTGTGTAATTCGAAAACAAAGTGGAAGGCCCCATCGTGATATGCATACGTAACAGCATTACAAGAATACTCTTACAAGTTAGGGCACATTGGTTAATTGCTGATCCATTTTTAAACCTTTGGACTACGCATTAATAGTATTGAACATTCACGTTATCTGACACGACCCATACTACTTGAAAACGGAGACTAGCTACTTAACAAATATCTCTTTTTCAAGTGTCCAAGAAGGCAGATTTAACCTGTGTTTAAAAAAATTTCACTACACAGGGCTTATTTCAGACTCGTCTACAAATAATATACATTACAATCTTTGACTCCTAGCTAAATTAAAACTAAATGTGAAGGCCAAAGTACAGAATAAACGAAGGACTATACACAAATACGCATTTTCCCCATTGAGAAGTCCCCTGACTACATACATAGTCCACACATAATCTTCAGGATATCACAGATTTTGTAAAAATAAAAAAAACAAACAGAACTTACCCAGAAAGTCGTCATCAAATTCATTATCAACCATCCCAATATCATCATGATGAGTGATTGAATCAATAGACTTAATTTGTTTTTCTGCGTCAGATAACCTACCACCCCGTTTAACATCGATTAAAGTGGCATCCAAATCTTGATCAGGGTTTAACGTGAAATCAGCATCATGATGCATTGACAAATGATCACTCCCACGATAAATACTGTCACCAAATGTTTTGTCGCCATCACGAATCATTTCACGACTTGATACTTCATCGAATGCTGAATCTCCGAAATCATCATCTTGTCGTCCTAGATTAATCTCACCGAAATCTTCACGCATAGTTATATCTTCCGGACGACTTTGATTTATTGCTATAGTGTTCATATTTATCTCACTGTAAATGAATGTAAGATAATTATATTATCACTTACTTGAGATCGGCTATAGTTGCTTCAAAATCATGAATATTCTCTGGTAAAGTGATAGCTGCGATAGCAGCTTCCCGATTTGCTTCATCTGGAAGGTCTACAACACCTGGACGAAATGCCATCTTGATTTTAACGAACGCCTCATTGCAGTCAGCCAGTAGGTATTTCGCCTTACGAGAGTAGATTCTCACTACACCCAATAATAAATGTCCAGAAGTTCTTAATGCCATTTTTAACTTCGGCTCTAAAATTGCCTCAACGCTAGAACTGATATTCGTTTCAAAAACATGAGCCCTGGTAAGCTTTTTATCCCAATGAGCAGCTAGCCATATACGGGCCAAAGGACCCTTTTTGCTGAGTACAAAATGTGCATAGAACATTGTTAGGCTGAAAATAAAAAAAATTAATACATAATGATAAACCAAGTTTTATCCATGAAAATGTAAGTTATTTCAAAAGTGCACAATTAAGAAATGTAAATTGGATAATAAAAAGTAATACCATTCAATAACTATCCACTTCACAAACTAAGCACTACGAAAAATGTATAAACTTTGATTTAAGAAAGGTCACAAGCACGACTTAATGGGCAAAAATGAAGATACTGATAACCTAATTTCTGGGATAAATTGACACCAATCCAAATTGTCCCGCTTCAGATTAGCACTACGCAAGAAAAACCAAACAGTAAGAATAAAAGTCTGCACAGTAGTAGAAAATCAGCTGAAAAAGTTGAAAGAAATGAATTAAAAATATGGATCATGATGTTGACAACCAAGAGAAGAAGGTTAGTCATTCAGAGCCCCTTCCTGATAACATTGATAAAGACCGAATGGATAGACGTAAGCATGCCTGTAGCTTTCCTAGAGTTACTGACTGTCCCGAGTCCGGGTAAGGGAGGAGGGTTTGTCTGGAGTCAGCAATCCCATCCTGTAGAAACCAACAATGCTAAGAAACGCCAACCAGAGTAAGCAATTCAAACCATTTAAACTCTGCCTCCCACATTGAAGGATTTTCACTCAGAAGAATTATGACGCCTCATGGTGAAAACCGAGGTTCTTTGGAAGTCACGAGGTCGTGAGACAATTAATATAGGCACATGGAATGTTCGGACAATGTACGAGACTAGAAGGATCAGTCAAATAGCTACGGAAATGAGGAGATACAGCTTGGAGATCCTCGGGATAAGTGAAACATATTATACCCAAGCTATACAGAAAAGGACGGATTCGGAAGAGATGCTGCTGTACGCTGGCCAAAAAGACGATGCTCCACACACTCAGGGAGTTGCTCTGATGCTGTCCAAAGAAACATGTAAAGCAGTCAGTCAGTAACAACGTAGAACTTCGTACATATGTACATCAGTTCGAGTTGCCACACCACATTAGCACAGAGATGCAGTTGTCGATTCAAATCCCGTAGTGGTAGAGGTAGCAAGAGTATAAGCAGTAATCGGGAAGATTAGGGTTTGGAGATGTTATTTAAAGAGTATAATCCAGTGAAATAAATTTGGAAAGAGGAAAAAAGGGACATGAAGGATTCAGAAGATTAGAATTTGGGAGAACACAGAGAGTGGATGCACCTGCGCCATTGCAAACGATTTTGAGCCATGTCATTCAGGGTCTCTAACCATCGGTTGCTATCATCTCGCGGTCCCCAACCAGGTAGTCTACACCTACCAACATGACTCAGTCCACTTGTCAGTGACTTCATGGACTTGTGCCATGTTTTGGTTTGGCCGCCCCTAGCTTTCTTCCAACCTACTCCTATACCACTGAACATAGCACGTCGAGGCAGTCGGTCGTTGGGCATACGTAACACGTGTCCCAGCCATCTCAACTGATGAAGTTTCACTACTTCATCAATTGATTTGCCATCCTTACCTAGTACCCGTTTCCTAACAACTGCATTACTTACTCGATGGTCCCATGATATACGAGCAATATTTCGAAGACACCTATGATCAAATACTAGTAACCTACGAATATCCTCTACTCTTACCGGCCATGTTTCACTGCCATAAAGTAGGACGGAACGAACTGCTGCGCAGTAAACCCGTCCTTTGGTTGATAGACGGATATCTCGCCTACGCCATAAATGACGCAAGTTGGCAAAAGCTAGTCGAGCCTTCTGTATCCGTGCTGAGATTTCGTCACACACTAAACCACAAGGGCTGATGAGACTTCCAAGATAAGTGAAGCGGTCGACACACTCAACTACTTCACTCCCTATCACTAGTTCGGGTGTCGATGTAACCCAATCCTGAAGCAACATTTTGCATTTCGAGGGAGAGAATCGCATCCCGAACATGCTTGCATTGTTGCTTAGAGTGGTCAGAAGACTCTGCATTTTGTCAGCGTCTTCACCAAATAAAACTATGTCATCAGCATATTCTAAGTCAACAAGTGAACCTCCCGGTAGAAGTTCAACCCCTGGAAATTTAGATGAGGAGAGTGTTATCTCTAAAAGTACGTCAATGACAAAGTTGAACAAGAATGGGGAGAGTGGACAGCCCTGACGAACACCACTTGAGGTAATCAATTCTGATGACAGTTCGCCATAAGCTCTCACTCTACCAGTTGTGTTCGAGTAGAGAGCCTTTATAAGGTTAATGTACTTCTTTGGTACTCCTTTCAGTGACAAACACTGCCATAGAACCTCACGATCAACAGAGTCGAATGCCGCCTTAAGGTCGAGAAATACTACCATTGTGGGGCGTCTGAATGTGTGTCTGTGTTCTAGAACCTGACGTAGTGTGAATATCTGATCTATACAACCACGTCCAGGTCGAAAACCAGCCTGGTTTTCTCTAATCTGCTCTTCACGAGCTTTGATTAGGCGTCGAAGTATTATTGAAGCTAATATTTTAGACACTATATTAGTCAAACTGATTCCTCTGTGATTGTCACAAGAGGACTTTTGTCCTTTCTTATAAACTGGCACAATCAGTGATTGAGACCAGTCAGATGGGATTACGTCCAGTTCCCAAATTCTACCTAAGACCTCAGTTAATCTCATTGCTAATACTGGACCACCATCCTTAAAAATCTCAGGAGTAAACCTGTCAGGGCCTGCTGCTCTCCCTCGTTTCAGATTTCCTATGGCTTTTTCAACTTCGTAAAGGGACGGAGGACCTACATTAACTTGCCATTCAGGTTGACTAGAGATCGTGGGAAACCGAAGTGTGGCTGAAGGCCAGTTGAACTGATCCCTAAAGTGTTCTGCCCATCGATCCAATCTCCTGGATTGAGAATGAATAATATGTCCATCTTTCTCTGAGATTGTTTCGCTAACGGTCGGGTTCCTAATTCCGGTTTCCTTAACGAGTCTGAACAATTGTCTGCTATTACCTATTGCCGCTGCCTTTTCCATCTCTCTTGCTTTCGCTACCCACCACTGTTCGCGATCATTGCGTAGACTTCTTGTCAGCTTGCGCTTAAGCTGACTCCGCTCTTCATTATGTTCAGAGCCAGGTGGAATGAGTTTCCGAGCATCTATCAGTGCGATAGATGCTGCTGAGATCCAGTGTTGCTCCCTAACCTTCTGGTTTACCTTACTAGCAGATATCACTGCTGTTTCCACAGCTTTTCGGATATCATTCCATGCTGCATCGGGGTGGGCATCACATACATGGCTGCCTAACTGTTTTCCTAGTTGTTCCTGAAATATACTCTTAGCTTGACTATCATTAAGTAGGCCCTAAGAGGTTTCCTTGCAGCGTCTTTCCTACGTCCAGTAAGACGCAAGCAAATACGCGCTCGCACTAGAGCATGATCTGAATCTAGGCATGTGCTCCAGAATGAGCGACAGTCTTCTATCGAGCCCCTCCATCGGTGGCTGATAGCGATGTGATCTATTTGGGTCCAACGTTGGGACGAATTAGGGGGTCGCCATGTTAAAAGATGTTTTTCCTTATGCTTAAAGTTAGTATTTGCAAGGAACAGGCGGTTATCTGAGCATAGCTGCAACAGACGGTCGCCATTATCTGTTCTTTGAGCCACGACACCATAAGATCCACCTAGGTGTCTTTCCCTATCGCTTAGTTTACCTACTTGAGCATTAAAGTCACCGGCCACTATTACTACATCCGAGCGCTTAGCTTTTCGGAGAAGGTCCGAAAGCTTTCTGTAAAACTCATCTTTTACATCATCTGAGCTGCAGTCAGTGGGAGAATAGGCAGAGACGACGAAGAGGCAACGACGAGTGTCCCTATCTTTCCGGATTCTTACTGTTCCGTTCAGTCGGACAGCGCACAAACGACTGTCTACTGGGATCCACTCTAAGAGAGCTAGTTCTGCCCTAGGACTCAATGCTATACCTACGCCGGCGAGGCCACGGGAAGCAGAATCAGGGCTTCCAGATACACGAAGCGTAAATCGAGTCGGTTCTTTATTTTGGCATGGTGAGGTCAAATGAATGACGCTACTTGGATCCTGTATGCGCGTTTCGGAGACGCAGCACACATCGATGGCGCGAGATTCTAAAGTTTTAGCTAAGGAAGCCTGCTGTCCTATTTGGCAAAGTGTTCGTACGTTAAAAGCTCCTACGTGTAGTTTAGAGCGTGGTTTCAGGAGACCAGGAATGGCGTTCCACGTACTCGAATCGTTTGCCCTAGCGGTGCGAGGTGATAAAGAGACGTGAGGAGGGTTAGTCATGGAGATAAGAGAGGTATTAGGAGGTGTAGGAAGGATTTGAATGTGACCACCTTGGTCTCTTGTGCTGTTACGGGTATGAGGGCTGATGTCACTTCCCGGCTGCCCACACCGTGGAAGGGTATTTCTTGAGGAACCTGAAAAGGAAATTGGATTAGTGTTGGTCTTGACGACCTGGGAGCGTGACCGCAGAGCCCAAGGGACAACTGCTTGAGGCCGGTCGCGCACGGCCTTTTTGTGGAAGGTTTTTGACGTGTTAGCTCCGTTCTTCAAAGGGCCTTACCGCCGGAGACGGAAATCCGTGAGGTAAGGTGAGGTGTGACATTTTTAGGGTCGACCTTTTCTAACCCCACCCCTCCTTGTGGGAAGGCAGCATCGCTGTCATGCTGGTTGTCCGAAGGAAACACCTTACTGCTGTCACACCCCTCTACATTCATTGTGATTCCCTTGTTTGTTTTGAAGGATGGTTTGATGATCATGGGTCCATAATATCCCCATCCTATGAGTGCTTTACATGCTTTTTTTTTAAGCATGTAAAGCACTCATAGGATGGGGATATTATGGACCCATGATCATCAAACCATCCTTCAAAACAAACAAGGGAATCACAATGAATGTTATCTGATGTTGTGTAGCCACCAATGATAGCAATGACGAAGATAAAGATCAGTTTTACAAGAGGTTGCAATCGGTTGTAGAAAAGTGCTTAGGAAGCAGCACTCATAAACCTTCCTATAGATGTCGCTCCACCAATGATCGAAGAAATCAGGATGACCATCAGACAAATCAAGAGTGGGAAAGCAGTAGAACCTGATAATATACCAATCGATGCACTGAATTCAGACATAGAAGCAACTGCAAAGATGCTTCACATTATATTCAGGAAAATTTGGGAGGAAGAATAGGTGACCACAGACTAGAAAGAAGGACACTTCATATCGAAGAAAGATCTGAGCGAATGCAAGAACTCAGCTGCAGAGGCATCAAACAACTATCGGTACCAGGAAAAGTTCTGAACAGTGTTGCTGAACAGGATCGATCGTGCACAGGCCAAATCGTGACACTACGGATAATCGTTGAACAATCGATGGAATGGAACTCGTCACTATACATCAAATTCATTTACTATGAGAAAGCATTTTACAGTGTGGATAGGAGAACCTTATAGAACCTTCTTCGATACTATGGTGCACCCGAGAAAACCGTCAAAATCATACGGAATACACTACATGGACGACAGCTGACAAACGCATTCCAAGTGAGGACCGGAGTTAGATAAGGCTACCTAATCTTCACCTTTCTCCTTCTTCTGGTTGGATGAATTATGAAGACCTTCACATCTGAGGGAAAGCACGGAATACAATGGACAGCTTGAACATAGCTAAGCGACTTGGAGTTCGCAAATGACCTTTCTTCTATTCCATACACACGAAAAAATGAAGGTCAAAACAGTCAGTGTAGGGCTAGCCTTTATAGCAGTAGGCCTCCACACACACAAATGATGGAGCAAGATCAAAAAATGCAACGCTCTCAAATGCCCTGGTACGGCTGGGAGTAGGAAGAGTCCTCTCTCTCCGTCTCGAAATGCTCTCACATGGCCACGCGTATATAGCCTCTGCCAGGGAAGTCCTACTCACTGCTTTCTCGCAGCATTACTGTTGTTTACGAAATTGAGATGACGAAGAGTGAATGACCGGCGCTTTAACCGCCTTGGTGGATACAGAGAGTCAACCAATGGGAGTTGGAAAACTCTGATTCAAAACCAATGGTGCACATGGGCTCCAGTATCCTGAAAGAACAAATGGCGTATGAACCAATTATTGGTCACCGGCTACTATGGGACTGCATCTCCTTACGGTGCTCCACTGCCTTGTGGGTTAGTCCTTTAGATCCAAGGCTCGGGGTGTGGTCCCCTAAGAAAACCACCTGTTTCGGTCTGGGCACCCGGGCAGTATCAGAGCCCTCACACATATCAAATGAGATTTGTGTGGCGCATATGTATTTGATGCCTCCTTGTACCAATATCTGTGTGTTAAAATAAATAAATAAAATACAACACGGATAGCACCGACCAAATCAAATATGATGAAGCAACTCTGGAAAACGTGGAAACATTCACATACCTGAGAAACATGATTGATAAACAAAGGTCTGATGCAAACGTAAAGGCAAGGGTTGGCATTCATATAGTTGAAGAACATATGAAACTCAAAACAACTGTCAATCAACATCAAAGTCAGAATCTTTAATACGAACATCAAAACAGTTCTACTATACAGAGCTGAAATGTGGAGAACTACTACAACCATCATCAAAAAGTGCAGGTATTTATAAACAATTGTCTACGAATGAAACTCAGTGTCCGTTAGCCGTACACCATCAGCAACAACCTACTGTGGGAGGAAACAAACTGGCTTCTATCTAAAGAGGAAATTAAGAAAAGATGTTGGAGGTAGATAGGATATACATTGCAGAAGTCATCAAACCGCATCACGAGGCAAGCGCTAACTTGGAAAAGAAGAATACCAAAGAACACACTTCGTCGGGAATTGGAAGAAAACACTAAAAGGATGAGTAGCAACTAGAGAGGATCGCCAAGGACAGAGTCCAATGGGAGAATGATGGTGCGCCACGTATGCTCCTCCACGCGGGATAACAGGCGTAAGTAACAACTTCCCACATCAGCAAAGTGACAGTTAACGGAATAAAATTTATGAAATCATACTGAAGCAGACAAGGGGTGAATTCATCTTCGAGAGTCATATTACCCAACGCTTCCAACTATTGACTGTGGTTACCAGTGGACCTTAATCAAGTAGTCTCTATTTGCCAAAACAGTACTCAATAGCTTCACTGATATCCGGTAACAGCAGTGTTATTTTATTCCTGACGTTTGACGTGTGTTCGGATGCAGAAACCATAATTAATTCGGTGTCATCAACTTGAAACACCGGTTTTGATGGACTAGACATATTTTGGAAATATAACCGTGTATAATATACCGATGATGGAGTGGTAGATAAAGCAGATAAATAGTCAGTTTGCGATACGACGCCGTGCTATGAAGAACTGTCTAGGACAGTTGTCAGTCCATGACTTCCTCCCGGTTGGGATTATTTAACTTTTACAACTCAGCTATCAGATATATGTCAAAATAGAAACCAGTGGCGATCCCGATACAGTTTTCTCTCTTGCATCCCTCATAAGAGCGAGAACTCTCAAGACTAAAAAGTCTTTCTTGATCCAGTATTAAACCGAACTGTACATAATATAATACATCATTCTTGTCCACTGATTTATTTTTAACTGCAGTTCCGTCCCCTCCTTTGTCACTTAGTAACACACCATTAATCGTGTGCCCCATACTTTTTTGATATCCAATTATAGCAGGATTTAGATACGAAATAAGAACGCTTAACAGACACATGTCCTAACCTACAATCGACAAATGACAGTAGAACACACGTTCTTCAAGGTAAACTACGAATACGGTTGGTCATATTGTATACACTGGTGACGTCCACACTGGCCCGTTTTCGCTGGAAAGTAACCAATTTGCTCTAAAAATCGATTGAGGATTATCCGATTGTTGTCCATTAAATAACACGATATTGGAGTGTATAAACAACAATGGGAATCATTGTTATCATTGTTATAAGCGATGTTACGAAAGCTCGAGATGAATAATACAAACCCAAGTGATCACATACACAAATGCAGAAAAAATCTGCGAGACATGTCTGAGTTATTTAAGCCATTGTTCACCAAATCGGGAAGAGGACCGAAAGAAACGATGGAACTCCGCCTTTCGTTTCTTATGGGGATTTGGGGGCGTCAGGACAATCAGATCACCTGGTTGAGATCTGCGTGATAACTACGGTCAGTGGTTGGAGACTTTGGAATGCATGGCTCAAAATCACTCACCTTGAAATTCAGCCTAACCTCACGCATACCTTTACACCCGAAGTTTATCCATTTTTTATCCCTTTTACTACATTATTTCGTCCTATTTTGATCTCATCGTGCTGACCAGGTATGGCAACTTTGGTCAACAAACACCGTATTAGGTTTTATGTGGAGGATGGCTGCCTGTTTTTACTTATCTGGAGTCACGGTTGATCGAATATTCAAGATCAGCAAAATACTCAGGTTTCGTCAACTCCAAAAACCAGGAATATGACACTGTACAGTTGTACTGTTAACGACTCTCTAAGGTGTTAACGACTAAGCTGGCTTTGTAGCAGATTATTAACACTAAACCAGACTACATTAAGCTAATGTTACTTGAGGACGGGAAAAAAATTTGTCTTCAATGGCGTTATCAATTTGAAAATTTGATGAATGCAACAGTTAATAACTTGTTATCGTGGTCAGTTTTACTTTCTTGCATTGCTAAATTTGGACGACATGGTTGAGGTTCATGAAACCATGGTAACCAATGGTTGGAGATGAGTGACGGCTCAAAATCAGTCGCAGTGATGTGGGTGCATTTTATCTTGATCTAATGTTAAGTCTCGGGTTTCAAAAATACTTAATGCATTTTTGTTGTTCCACAAATTTATCCTTTCTCGAATCATATATTACACACCTGGTCTTATATCATTGTTGTTACTACTCTGTTTAGTCATGCAAGTTTCATCTCGATGTGATAACTTGATCCGGTGAACATAAATACCAGATTTTTTTTGCACATAACTATGCACCATCAAGCAAATACTATCCTTACTTTACCAACCAATTCTCATCTATTCAAAGTAATGCCTCTAATCCATGACAAATAAGTGTTGTCATATTCGGGTCTCACCTAACGCATTTGAGGATTTATAGTAGGAATAATACATCAATGATATTCGACGTAACCCTTTGGTCACTCGGTCAGCTTATCAATACGGTTTTCTACTTTAAATGTTACTAATATATATGGTCTTCTAGAAGTCTGAGTCACAGTTAACAAAGGCAATAGTGGCTTGAGCGTTGACATGCATGCTACATAAAGTAACAGACGTAAATTAACCGGAATTGTCTCATAAAAAACTATGAATCAATACCAATCCACCAAAAAATACATTGTCTGACTTAATCCTACGTCGACAGTTAGGAAACTTCCAAGCTACTATGTAAACTTTCGATGAGATGACTTATAATGGATATTCCAACCTTGACAACAAGAAATAGGAGTCTAAAAGATGATACTGAGATCTTTAAAAGGGGACTGAACTCTTGGTAATTATAACTACTTACATCCGATTGTGAGCCCCAACAAAACATTATTAAATATAAAGCTCTTATAAACTGATGGAAAGTTTGATAAAGAAATTTTACTATACTCACTGTGTTTAAATATAGTTTTAACCAGAATATTTTCAGGTAATCGAGCAAAATGGGTACCAATAGTATAAAATACAAACACACTCCGTCTACCGCCACGCTGATAAAATTGAAATGTAGTTAACTTAAAGAAAGCATGAGTTCACTCAGAATCTTCTGTTGAAGTAGCAGTGTATGACTCAATATCTCTAGTCAATGCACAAAAATGTTCATATTTCGAAGCCATACATATAATTTCAATTCTTTAGAAGTATGAAGGAACGGGATATAATTTATAAAGTTTGTCAATTGAAGATTCTTATAAAATTAAAGGATAATGGTGTAGATTATATATATATATCCCACCTAACTTCGAATATGTGTTGTTAACTAATCACTTGCATTCAACGTAAAAATAAAAGTGGAATATGAATGTGGTTCAGATATGTAGATTTAAAACACTCAGACTGGCTGAATTAGATATGACTCGGAGTGGCAACAGTAGCCTACTCAGTGAATAATGATTACCCAAGCTTTAAATCAGGTGACTAATTTACGGATTGCAAAGTATAAATGACAGACAGACATAAAACAACCACACATTAAAGTGCACATCAACGAAGTTAACAACGCCATCGATAAGAGAGGTATATGGAAATGTCCTAAAATACTTAACCAGGTCAAAAGTATACATTTAATGAAAAGATCTGTTCAGAATAAAATAGCCTAGATGAAAGTATAAGGGTATTGCTACACTACTGGTTTGAAATAGGTGTGAATAATACAATCAAACCGACTGATAGTCAAACAAATATATTCTCTGTAAATAAGTCTCTTTGTATGAAAAACCTCTCTTTAATAGCCTTCGTTTCATTGTTTACTAATAGTAGACGTCTACTCAAGAGATGTTAGTCCTGAATTTTCTGAGTCATATGCAAGCAATACAACGTAATCATATACCCACAATTCTTTTTGTTCCTTAGCAAACTGAGAAGTTTGATTACCATGTTGGTCTTTCTGAATAGGACCAGTGACAAACAACTAATCATTCTCGTAGTCTTTAAAAACTTAATTAAAGTAATCCTCTTTATGTGAAAAATTACTTGAAAAGCACAAGGATTCTAAACTATTTAAATGATACATCATAGATTTATCCCTCTTTTACTTCTGTACTGTACAGGTTACAAACTAAAAACCCCAAATGAGAGGTGAAGGCCTTATTCCTTAATCGAATCACCTCATTTGTTGTCCATACAAAACCCTCCAGAAAGTTAAAATCTTGCCTAACGATAGTGGACGTGAAGAATAATTTACCAGAAGAGGCATTCACTACTGGAACTCATCCCGAATATTTAAACTCAGTCTTAATGAAGATCTGGAGAGCCACAAAGATGCCACAAGTATTCGGAGTTTGAAAAAGCCTTTAACAACAACACCTTTTATAATCAAAATATGCTAACCTAGTAAATCAGAAGTCAGAGGTGAAGAGGTTCGAAGGTATATTTGATAAGTTATCGATATATCGGCATGTGATCAATCTAAGTCCGCTAGCGGTTATAGGAGATGTGAAGCACGGTGTACCCACTCGTGATCTTGTGAGGATGCATGACCGAGCGCCTCCAGTTAGGTGAGTTCAGTCAAACTGACGAGGTCAGCATCAAATGTTGAAGACCTGCAGAACTATTGATTTTGTGATCATGTTTATTGCTGCAGATGCCTAATGAAACAGTATGGTTTGATGACTGTAGAACGCCTATAGGAAAAACGACCATGATATCACTTTGTGCAAAAAAAGATCCTGACGTCCTCAATAATGTACTAGGTCGATTTATCGTTTATGTTGCCCATTAACATCCTTTGATTACAAATATTAGTAAAATGAATTTTCCCGTCCAAATAATAAAGTTCGTATCACAGGAACTGATAATTAAGGTTACTTTGTAGTTCGTTACAGTGTTCTAAAGGAGGGAGCTAAATGATACTTGGTTTGATCTTACATTCAACTCGAATAACTCAAAGATCAAACAGCCTGCAATCTTCCCGCTTAGTATTTCTGTTGGCATTCGATTCGACATCCACAAATTTTATTTTCACATAAAGAGTTCTAAGAATCAATCGAACGAATGTCTTGGGTAAATTAAATATACCTGAAAGAAATTTCCAATGGTAATCGGGCAGAATAGTTCCCGTCTAAATGACTTCAGAGAGGTTCATCGATTAACTTTGATAGATTCAAGATTTTAGGGTGGCATTGAAGTAAAACCGTAGTCAGACACTATGAACTTGTTATCTCGTTTGTGAAACGTCACAGCGGTCCTTTTTTTAGCTAAAAGATAGCTTGTACTCGACAAAATGACACCAGCTTCATTGAGTCCATTTGAATTTAAAGTAACTTTACTGGTATTACTATAAAGTCACGTTCACTCAGTCAGTGTGCTTTCTTGACCACTTCTGATACCATAGTTACTAACGCTACGGTTCTTTATACACGATTTTCTTATATTCTGATGGCTGAGTTATGGAATTGGCGACCTGCCCGAATATTCGGGCTACCGGTTTCTACCATTTAAGTATTTCAACAAGTCTGTTTTTTTAACACATCATTATGTTTACTAATCGTATAAACTAATCAGCCGCATTTATGAAACGTTTACAACCTTTCGCCGTACAGTCTACAAAACAGTATGCAATTAACCACCGTAGATGATCTATGTTGAATGATTGGGGGCCTACTGAAGTAAGACTGGAATGGTGTGACGAACTAGCTAACGTCGAAGACACACCTCGCGGTCAACACCCTACATGGGTTGCCCCATCGACTTATCGAGACACTATAAATACTTTGTAGACTGTACAACGCAAAGGACGTTATTACGGAAATATATTAGTTAAAGTAGATATGTAACAGCATAGGTTGATTGGTTATGACTCCACCTCAAACAACTAAGCATATGTCAAAACAGTATAGTTCAAGTATTCATTCACTTCCTTATTTTGTATCGGCGTTATATTTCCCATTATCTTGTAGTGAATGTTGAGAGGCTTTGTTTGTCTGAACAAATAATCTCACGCTCCACTGTGATTGCGCGAAGATCTAAATAAAGACCTATTCACTACTTGTTTAATTTCTTCTATCAATAGCACGAGGGTTACCCAGAGGCACGAAAGATACAAGCGAAAGTAAGACCACCGCCGCATGTACCAGTCCATGGCATACGATTAACTGATGTGCGTTGGCCATCCTTGACCTTGACAGGAATCGATGATCGGTTCGATATTCAGTGACTCAACTGCCGGTTGATTTGGCTAGGGCTTAGTGATATTTCACTTGCCCTACTAACACAACCAAAGTCTTTGTGTTAGCTGGCAATATGAATTGGAAGGAATGAACGTCATTCAGATGTTTATTCTTGAACTGCTTACATCTAACTGGTGACCACTCAATATTTGTCCTCAGGATCGACCACTAATTAAGTAAAGGAAACTTGTTGAAATACTTGGTGCTGAGAATTCTGTATTGTTCCGGAAACATAATGCTAAATAAAGCTTATAATAATACTAACAAAAGCCAATTATATCACTACATGCAATTGTATCTGTGGTGAATGGGTCCGAAGCTTGGTTGACTGACTGATATAAATGTAGTCCAGTCTAAAAAAACTCCCCGTTAGGCCTTCAGAAAGTTAACTGGGTGCCATTTCCATTTAGTTCCAACTCAGAAGGCGATCCAGTAATCTAAGGCTTACCAGGTGATGTCAAATTATGTTCTGCCTCTGAATCACTCGCGAACAAGAATAATATCAAAACACAAATTTTGTGCGTGATTAATGTGATATCATATGTTGAAAACATATAATGTAGAACGTCTATTCAAAAATGTCACTACTCTACTAAATAGCTGAATAATTCTCCGGCACAAAATAATGTTTTCTAAAGCGAAAAATAATTGATAAACACTGATTTTGTGTATCTAATATCCAACACTAAAATTTGAAGCAAAATACAATAAAATGTCTTTCTGAAAAAATCCAGTAAAGTGGCAAAGGTTTGAAACGAACGTAAACAGCTGCTACACGTTATAACGTTAAGTTCATTAAAACAAGATTTTATTTTCAGTGGTTCGATATCGTACGACCATCAAATTGAATGATAAAAACAAACCTTAACTAAGGTCAAACAAAAAAGGCTTGCGAGAAGGTAAATAGATATGAAAATACGATCACTTAAGTCCTGAATAATAGTGAACATAATAAGCAAGGAAAACAATTCGAGGAATAGCAGTACTATTAAATCAAAAACTTTGGAGGGATTTTCCCAGTATTCACTTCGTGGTTATTGCATCTTATTTGCTAGTTGTTCTACTTACTTTTGACATTCAAGGGGCTAATCATTATCTCCGAACGGAACTAGTGAGCCTCTTAACTGATAACAGCGTAAATCTTCTCTTTGACTGAAACAGGAAACGTTTACCACTCCGAAACATTTTACACGTGCAACGTCATCTTTTTGAGTCAGTTCACATTTGTGAAGAAGTACTTTGATGTATGAATTCTGTTGAATCAGATTCTGGATTTCATCTAACAAACACAAATCTTCAGAGACTATTACACACTGAAACAACCATTACGACATCAAATTATAATGCACTCCCAGAAAGCTGATCTTACTTTTATACGTCTGATCAATAGCGTGATATTATTAATTCTGATAATATCGTGAGTAAAGCTAACTCCACTAATTAGTGGTGCATACTGTATCTTATCTCGGGACATTTTAGTGTTCTATCTGTGCATTTTGTTTGACGTATTAAGTGCCTTCTTGATGCTCTCGTTTTTGATAGCTAGTAGAAACGGCTAAATCTGGTCAATTTTTTTCGTAGAGATTGTATAAGACACAAGTATCTTCACACTACACAATAATCAGTCTTCAAAGCTTGGTCTAAGAGTATTTCTTATGAAGCAAGTTTTTCATACTCCCATGCTAAAATGCAGCTACAACTGTAAATATCTAAATGTTACGTATTATAAGGTGAGGATGAATTTGTTGTTTTCAGTGATGTTATACTTGAATAACCTTCATCCGTCTCCAAGTAGATGGTTACTAATACTTTATGTCATATTAATCAATCTGGTTGTCCAA